AATTTTCATATCTCTGGTTGTATATAAAGTATATTCACACCAATTCGTGTCTTCATACATGTACTTTGGATAATGATATTCAGCACATTCCACCATCATTTCTAAGGCCCTCTCTCTTCCCTTTCCCTCCCACCCCTCTGAGCCTCTTTATATCAGAGAAAACTTTCAGCATTTGTTTTTTGGGGATTGGCTAACAGGGCTCTATCTTTAGAGCTACTCAATAAATATTGGTGGCATTAAATCAATCTCTTAATTCATTCATTCAACAAACATAAAGAGCAAGTATTTTGTGATAGGTAATCTGTTAGCCACAGAGGATTCAAGGATGAGCACTCAGCTAGTCCTAAGGGATTCACAAGTGGTTGGGGGTGAACACAATGAAGCTAAGGATGGAGTGAAGCCTTGAAGCAGGAAAGGGGGAGCTTCCTGGAGGGCAATTAAAGAAGCTCGACAGGGAGTAGAGAAGCTTCATGAGAAAGAAATTTTGAAATTTTTACTTATTTCTTTTATTTGTAAGATTGACACATGATCACAGGAGAATGTAAAAGGAAAACAGACTAAATAACAAATGAACATGTTTTTTGTTTGGTTTGTTTGGTACTGGGGATTGGAACTAGGAGTGCTCTAGCTCCGTGTTATATTTCCAGCACTTGTTCTTTTTTAAAACAGGTCTCGATAAGTTGCTTAGGGCCTCACTAAATTGCTGAGGCTGGTCTTAAACTTGCAATCCTTCTGCCTCAGGCTTCAGATGTAAATGATGGATTAGAATTAGCCAAACCAAGGGCAGGACTCTTGAGGCATGCAGACTTAACTTGAGCAAACACAGACTTGGAAGACCTGCATGATTCCATGGGGAATTTTGTGAATACAACAGTATTGTAAAGAGGACCAGTGCTGCAGGGAGAGGTTTTTTTGGTTTTTGTTTTTTTGGGTTTTGGGGGGGGTGGGGGGGGGTTCTAGCCCAAAGACCCTGGCTGCTTGGTTAGCAAGCTTGAACATTTCGCTGTAGGCAGTCCTACAAGCAGAGAAAAGATTACTCTAAGACTGGGATAATCAGATTGCATTTTTGATTAGTCTCTGGCAGCTGTGTTGATGAGAATGGTTCTGAGGATTCAGAACTAGAAGCAGTCACCATTGAGGAAGCTGCCACAATCCACCTAAGGAAAGCTAATGATGACTTGAATGGTGGCAGTGGTGGCCGCACTGAAAGGAAGAGACAGGTGGGAATGAGGGAAGCCATGGGATGCTATTTAGGTTTCTTTTTTGTAGTTGTTTGTTTGTTACAGTTATTTTGTTTATTTATTTTTATGTGGTGCTGAGGATCAAACCCAGTGACTCACACATGTGAGGCAAATGCTCTACCGCTGAGCCCCTGTTTAGGACTTTAGTTTGTCTGAAACTGGTCTTTTAGCTTGATTCTTCATTAGCAACAAATGAAAAAGCATGTGCAGAAAGGAGGAGCTGGTGTAGCATGTAAAATGAGTTTGGATGGAACAAAATGAATGCAAAGGCATTTGGGACACCCAGGTGGGGAAGTGGGGAAGGCAGGAATCATACACACGCCCACACCCACACACAATGTAAGTGCTTAACACATCGGAGAAAAGGCCTGTTAAGAAATTACGAAGAGCTCATTTTTGGAAGAGCCAAGTTATTGCTGAGATAAGCAGTTAAGAAGTGCCAAAACCAGAAAGGACAGCTGGCTCTCAGCCTGGCTCTCCCAGGAGGTGATGGACCTTGGTAGGCTCACTCAGACACAGGTTTAGTTTCTTAGCTTTTCAGACTTGGAAGCTCAGTCTTCTCAGAACCCCTCCCCCACTCCCACCCCTCAGAATGATCAGGATCTACATCTTGACTCTCCGAAGATTTCTGTTATTCCTAAGAAGGCCATGTGGCAGGACCAGAGGTTTGAATTCAGTCATCCTAGTTCATTCCAGACTTCAAGCCAGTCTCATTACTTCCTGGCTATTGTGGCTGAGAGCCTGGGCTTTCTTGCCTGGAAAACAGGGCTACCTCTCAGGGAGGTTATAAAGATTTAAAGAAATAATGTATAAAGCATCAGATGGCTGGCTGGGGGCTCCCTTTTCCTCCATCCACTCTTCCATCACTGCAGGTGCAGGGGCAGCTTGGGAAGCAGCCAGGAAAGCAATGCTGATTTTTCCAACCTGGAAGGAATGACTGATTGCCCAGAAGTGACTTAGCTCATGTGCTACCAAGAATTCAAAATCTTGCATATTCTTTTCAGGAGAGAATCCAACTCTGCTTTTTCTGGTTTTCCAACACTAACTCCAAGGAACCAACCGAATAAGCATTCAGCCACACTCTTTCACACTGACAGACTCCAAGAACTGAGTTATTTATTATGGAGTAAGTGTTCTAAACATCTCTAACATCCCTGAAATAGAGTGAAAAAGTAAATCAAAGGATATGTTAATTTTTAAATCAAGTTTTTTTTGTTTTAAAAGATACATAGTAAATTATTAATACCCTAAAGGGAAAAATAATTTCATTTTTATTGTAAATTTGATCTGGGTTATGTATTTTGAAAGTTCTATTATCAATTTTGCTGATGCAGAGAACACACACTGAGGACATGCTTCTATTGAACCACACCTTGGTGTGATGCCATTAATTCCCTCAGAGGGAAGCAACACGGCAAAGCTCTATGAAACTCATCTTGTGTGACAGCTCTGAGGGTGAGGTGAGTACCTTGTCATTACAATCCACTTATATTGTCCTCTTTATGGCTTCTCTCAAAAACTATTAGTACTGCCTGAGATGATAAATTTATTTTAAAAATGTTAATTGAGCACCTTGTATGTGTGAGGTCTGGTGCATAGGCACTGGATTATATATAAGGCTAGACATCTTGGTAGCAAATCTTTGTCAGTAGCAACTTCACAGAACTCCTCTCACCCAACCCCACCCTCAGGGCCAAAGACCCCACTCAGGGCCTTGTGTGAGCTAGGCAAGTACTCTGCAACTGAGCTAAGTCCCCAACCCCTTCACAGAACTTTTGACGTGTGCTTTTTCAAGTCCCACTC